GACGACGACGACGACGACGACGACGACGACGACGACGACGACGACGACGACGACGACGACGACGACGACGACGACGACGACGACGACGACGACGACGACGACGACGACGACGACGACGACGACGACGACGACGACGACGACGACGACGACGACGACGACGACGACGACGACGACGACGACGACGACGACGACGACGACGACGACGACGACGACGACGACGACGACGACGACGACGACGACGACGACGACGACGACGACGACGACGACGACGACGACGACGACGACGACGACGACGACGACGACGACGACGACGACGACGACGACGACGACGACGACGACGACGACGACGACGACGACGACGACGACGACGACGACGACGACGACGACGACGACGACGACGACGACGACGACGACGACGACGACGACGACGACGACGACGACGACGACGACGACGACGACGACGACGACGACGACGACGACGACGACGACGACGACGACGACGACGACGACGACGACGACGACGACGACGACGACGACGACGACGACGACGACGACGACGACGACGACGACGACGACGACGACGACGACGACGACGACGACGACGACGACGACGACGACGACGACGACGACGACGACGACGACGACGACGACGAGGAAGACGAAGACGACGACGACGACGACGACGACGACGGAACTGAAATAAAATCATCTCGCTCGCCATTTCAATACGCCCTGATCTCGTACACTAACCGTATTGAACTTGGTGGCAATCGCTTCAGAACCTTCAATTCCTATAGTGAATGTATCAATAACTTTTCCTCATATATAGCGGTTCATAAGATATTTCGTTCCAAACACAGGTATAAGGAGTTGACTCGAGTAAAGAGTCTCGGCGCGCTGCGCCCTGTACAGCCGGTTGCCTGTACTTGGCGCGAGACTCGACCGAGTCTCTTGATCCCTTGCTCCTGTGTAAAAGTGTACATAGGTGAAACCGGGAGGAAGATCAGTACACGGGTCAAAGAACATCAACTGTGTACCAAATACGGTAATTTTTCTCTATCTACTTTAGCTGAACATTGGATGGACACTGGACATTCAGTGGAATATGAAAAGACAGAAATGCTAGCTAGTTCTATAGGTTACTTCGTCCTAAAACACCGCGAAAGTCTAGAGATATTGAAATACCCAAATAACCTTAACAGGGATCGAGGATATCAAGTAAACCCCATTTGTACACCGTCCTCCCGGTTTTTTAATTGATCAGTTGATCAACTAAACAACTTATGATCAGCTGAAGCACTGATCCGCATGAGGAGTCATAGGTATATTAAGACTTTTTGACAACAGGGAACTTCAGTATAGGAGCCTCCTAGCCCTGATGATGCAGACTGAAACGTTTGCGAAACGTCGACACGAAGCTGAACACAAACTCGGCTTCCATCCGGAAACCATGAGTATTAATGATAATATCCGCCGCGAAATCCCAAAATCTCAAAGTAATTAACGGCTTTATTTACTAACATGTTAACATTTATTTAACAAAACCATTTGGTAAATTATTTCCTGTACTTAATTTATTGATTTTACACTTCATTTCATATAATGCATGTTGAATTGAAAATCTGAGATTCATTTTTTGCAAATTATATTCAGGTCCAGGCCGAATTCCCAGACAAAAGAATGTCAGCATTTTCTAGAAATATACTTTATTTATAAAAATTCCCACGTGAATCGATCAGAAATGCATTTTTTAATCATTAATGGACACTAGAAACATGTTTATGCAATTCTTTTCTAACAAAATCGTATAGCATCAATATAAATTAATATTTTTCATTTTTGACAAACTCTTGTCTGGAACTGTGTACATATGAAACATCTTAAAGGTGTGATTCAGATCAGAGATGAGTAGTGAGATTGTCAACAGAGATGAGTGGGGAGATGCACAACGCTCCGGTTTTAGGCGATACCAAAAGCATGGCGCTAAATCGTAGCGGCGAGTTTGGGAGTAGGATTTCGTGATCATCGCCTCTGTCGATGTTACAGATTTCGCGTAGCCGCGCGGGTCATGATGATCGTTCCAGCCGATATTGCAGTCAGCGAAAATGAATGGATTGCTCGGTGGTGGGGAAAAAGTTGCCGCTCCTCACAAACCGTTCTTGACAAACAGGCGGAACAGCAAGGTCTTCCGTCCAACCGAACCCTAAACGTTTGTATGGATGTAATGCGCAAACAAATGTGTATTGTAATGCGCCCGTTACTAATAGTAGTATCGGTAAAGTCGATGGGCAATTAATCTTACCGACCGTGTATTTGCCTACGTTCGTAATTATATCGTATTAGAATTGGTGTCACTAGGTATCATCCATAATAGCCAATCAGACACGAGCATCGGTTTACTGGCGACTGTCTTGTCCGGTACCGGCTTAGTCGGGAAGAGATAGTCGATTTGGGTGGACGTAAAAAAGTATATCTGAAGGCAATAATTTAAATCGTGGCGTTGGTTCAAACAAAAGACAGATCAATTATTAATATTCTAAATCATCGAAGGAAGATCAATCAATTATATCCGATCCTGTCTTGGATACCAAATATCGCCCAAACCAAGGAATTATATATATCTATCAAGGATGATTTGGCAAACGACAGGATGACAAAAGTTCCACTTGAAGGAC